TCTAAAATAGGATTCAACTGGCTGTGAAAAATACAACAAAAATGTTAGTTATCCTTACCAGTTTATCGCAGGTGAAGCAAAATGCGTGATTAGAGTCTAAGATTCTTAAATCACTTTTTCCATAGATCCATTTCTTCATCATTTGCATTTTTCGCGTAGCTTGTTTCGGCATTTTTAAAATAAACGCTTTTACTTTCACACTAACGGAACACAACCAATAACAATTCTTAAAAAGAAAATTTTGAATAATACTGAATGAACTACCTGTTAAACAAAAACAGATAAATTTTATGAAGCCATTTGCTATCAATCATCCTGAATTGCCTTAATCCTTAATACTTAGTAGTTTAGAAAGCAAAATACCCACTTGGTTAATATTTCGTGGTAAAATGCAGGTACAATTCAAAAATATTGTAATGTTTACAAAATAATGATAAATAAGCAATATTTTATTTTTAGATATGCATTATTATTTTAGATATGCAATATAAAATTCTGCACTAACTATACAGGCATGTACTTTATATGCATTTTTGCATATAATCCAAGCTCTAGTAATCACTCATAATTTATGACAATTTTTTAGTTGTTTTTGTCTACTACGTATAAAGATATTTAATTTCCCATTATTTATAATATTGTGATTTTTTATTTAAAGACGGTTCCTAAAACATGGATTCATAAAGCTTTTTCTGAGAAGCAAGAAACAATTTATTCAATTTGTGATCCTTTTGTTTTCATAATTTCATGTTCATTATACTTACAAATGTGTAAGTTTGAATTATGCAAAATTTCAACTCAAATCGGATTTATTCACAGCGTGGCATGTCATTTTTAAATTTTTATTATTCATTTTTGAATGAAATTTTGTTATCAAAATAAATCTAAAAGAGTGTCTACGTTTTATTCAAATTATTCACATAAAGGATGCGATTTACAGTTAGCACGTGTGTCCCAAATTAATTAAATTATTTTGAACTGAATATTTTGTAGTTTTATACAATATTTTGTCACAAAAGAATATTCTTTCGTCCATTCAAATGATTCAAAAGATCAATGAGTTGTACTTATGAGATTTATAGGATCATAAAGGACAAATATAGGTATCACAGTAGTTATTAAAATAATAGTAATAATGTTTCTTTGAAAATTCTATAATCTTCAGCCCACCTAAAACAGAAATATTTTACTTTTGCTTTCATCCAAGTTATAAATTCAATGTTGTGCTGAAGATACCATCTTAAAATTGCCCTAATATTGCAAACAAATAAAATGCTGTTCAAATGAAGTACAAATCCAGAGATCTATCTATTCGGCCAGCAACTTAGTTTAGGGCTGAATCAGTAGATTTACCTAAAGTATGGTTTTGGTGTAGTTGGGTGTTGTAATCACCACATCTCATATCTACCTTCTGCTTAGCCTTTCCAATGTCTTTATGGAAAACGATGTCAGACTAATTGGTCGGTATGTTTTTGGGATAGTGTTAATTATCTTTCCAGGTTTGGATATGAAGACCACTTTTACCTCTCTGCATTTTATGGGGATATACCTCAAAGCTAACGAGGAGTGGTGTGAGTTCTTCTAAACCCCAATGAAGTTGGGCTGGATAGATACCGTCAGTTTCTAGCGATTTAAATGGGGAGAAGCTAAATATTGCCAATCTAATTTTGTTTTCGTCTACAATGTGTTTAGCAGTTTGCCAATTGTAGATAGACGGGTTGTATTCTTCCTCAGCTCAGTCGGCCACGTCCGTGATTACCAAGTCAGGGAAGTGTGATGACAGCAGAAATTTGATGCTATCTTCGAGGTGTGCAATTTTAATTTTTGTACTTATAGTCCTACTAACAGAATATTGAAGGCTCAGTAGATGTAGATACAATAGCGAACTGGCAAAAGAAACCTTATGCCAATTGTGCTATAAAGAGACTGAATCTGCAGTGTACATAATTAACTATAGTAAAGATTTTTCAAGAAATAAATTTTTTATTTGCAGAAGGACAACTAGGAGCATGACATACTTTTCAATTTTTTCGTGACATCTACGGGATTCCCACGATTCCCTTCGTTTAGTTGTGTGGAGGTGATAGATCCTTTTGAGGACTAATGGCGTATCCAATTCACGAATGCTATCAATATTAACCGCTTTTACAACTGTAAATATATCAAAGTGGAAATGTGTTTTAATTATTTGTTTTATATTTTTGTCTTGACTGCCAACAGACATTCACATAGTTACAAAAAGGAAAAAGTACAAAGGAGAAAAATCATACTCATTGGTGGTAGTTTATTTAAATTAATACTCTCTACAAACTACATCTGACAGCATACTGTTCCAGTGATTTTACCACTCATTTATTATTATTGATTTTGAACCTGGATATAGGTATTTGTATTCTCTTTTATGGAGTTTCTTTGGCTATTTGGTCATCTCTTTTATCACCAAATGTTATGCTATCATCTGATGAAATCCAAATTATAGTTACATTTATTTTATTTGGTATCTCAAAGAAAATATAATATAATGTTTTTAATTGTTACAAATCCCATAGTGTTGATGAAGGTTTAAAGAGTTTGACCTCGAAGATTATGAGAAACTTTCATTAAATGAAGTTGTAACTTTGAGTCTAGGTATCTGATAGAAATATTATTACGGATGGTTTTATAGATATTTCAGAAGCTACAAAATGTAACTGTATTCGAAATTAGTTGGCTTAGCCGACGCACTGTTATAGATTCATACTGTAGTGCCTTGTACTATCTCCTACCTACATAATGTGAAGTATTTTAATTTCTTTCGTAAAATTAACAACCTTTATTTTTAAAACAGTCTAGTGAAAGGTAAAGACTATTAGTAAGGTGAGTGTAATTTTAACCTTTAACTAGATTACTACAAAAATAAAGGTTATCAGTTTTACCATTAAGGAATGATTAGTATTTGACAAATGCCATGAGGTGCAAGTGTGTGCAAGGGTTGCAAAGCACCACACCTACTTATTCACTTTTTCAGTTATTCGTTGAGAGAAAACATTTGATTATATAATTAATCTGAAACGTAATATTTGCTTCCCTGTTGCAGCATTTGAAAACATTCCGTTTTCAATTTCAAAATAATTCCGTCAAATGAAACGAATATTAAAGAATTATCAAGATGGGATAACGGGAAATCAGTTTATTGAATGGAAAAGTTTCATCAAACAGAAATATATAATTTCATTGAATTTCCAGCAGTCCCTCGCTGCGCGTCGATCTGATCTTAATTCAATTTATACAGTTTCATTAAATTCAGAAAAGATTCCTTTGCAAATATACTTATCATTGATTAATCTCCATTCTAAGATATCGTCTAGAAGAAGAATTGCGCGTCAGATACATTTATAAGCTTTTTTTATTTATTACACAAACAGAATTTCAAATCATCGTAAATGAGAGATATATTTACCATATTTCTGAATCGATTACTATTGATTGACTACGGTAGACGCAATTTGGTTTATAAATATTCCTTTTTAAATTGAAGATGGGTGAATAATATAAATATGCATTCATTGTGATAATAATTCAATAATTTTTTCCTTATTTACTGCTCTCTTGAAGAACCCTTAACTTGACGATGTGTATCTTAATACACGGGTATTTCAATTTTTTGTTTCATCTATGTTCCATGGAAAAATTGTATATATGAAGCACTGTGTACTTAGATACACATCTTGTCTAGTAAGTTATGCTTTCTAACTGCTATTTTTAAAGGACCCCGCAATAATCTTATGGAAATTGGATTTCTGTCCAATTGTCTGAATTATTGATATGTTGTAGATTTTGTCATCCTGAACAAAAGTCTCCATGGGCACAAAGTGCCAAAATGAATATTTTGGCAGCTACGAAGCTGCCAAAGCTCCCCTGACTCGTTGCAAAACTATTCATTTTCAATACTATTTACAGATGTCAAAAGCATATTTTAATTATTCTAATATATAGTGTAATGTTCTTGAGGTCACTGGATTCAACCCTCATGTCAGATTGGACAAATTGACCGTTGACAGCTGTCAATACACTGTCAACGAACATTGCCTTCGGTCTGCCAAGTTCCTTTAACACTTTTTACTCCAAACGACCCTTTTAGCGTTCGGTTTATTCCGATTAGTGACAGCTTAACACGCTTAAATGGCATTTAAAAGCACCTTAAAAAACTCCGCTCCAGCCCCTGACTATCCGAACTCGCCTGCTGAATAGAAAAGTAGATATAGTCTGTTGACATTGAGAGTTTGGGCTTTTGAGGGAGCTGAATTCAATTCTAATCTCAGATTGGAAAAATTGACAGCTGACAGCTGTCAATTGACTGTCAACGTGGAATATAAAAGTAAATACCCTCTTTTCACATTGAGAGTTTGGTTTTTTGAGGTCGCTGAATTCAATTCTCATGTCAGATTGGACAAATTGACCATTGACAGCTGTCAATTTACTGTCAACGAGGAAAGAGAATATTTACTTCTCTATTCGTCGTTGACAGTGAATTGACAGCTGTCAATTGTCAATTTTTCCAATCTGAGATTAGAATTGAATTCAGCTCCCTCAAAAGCCCAAACTCTCAATGTCAACAGAGAATATTAACTTTCCTATTCTTCGTTGACAAAGTATTGACAGCTGTCAACGGTCAATTTGTCCGATCTGACATAAGGATTGAATCCAGTGACCTCAAAAACATTACCCTATATTTTAGAATAATTAAAATATGCTTTTGACATCTGTAAATAGTATTGAAAATGAATAGTTTTGCAACGGGTCAAGGGAGCTTTGGCAGCTCCGTAGCTGCCAAAATATTTATTTTAGCACTTTGTGCCCATGAAGACTTCTGTTCAGGATGACAAAATCAACAACATATAAAAAATTCAGACAATTTGACAGAAACCCAATTTCCATAAGATTATTATGGGGTCCTTTCGCGCCTTCGCAAACTGTCAAAATTGTGAGGTTAGTTGTGGTTTACTTTCAGGTTGAGTGAAATGTCCGTGCATCAGGTAAGCAATTTCTGATTTTTAATACTTTTATATGTACCAATTACAAATAAATCAATAAAAATCATTGGAATAGACATTACTTGATGGTTGTGTATGTGTATTTTATCTGAATAATTTGTAGAAAAAATGTAATTGTCTTCTAAAAAACAAGTGTATTTAAATTCACACTGCCAAGTAAACGAGAGAATATAAATGTCTCTTTTAATACACATTGCCATCTTGAACATCTACATCACAATCAATGGGACAGGGCCGTATTCAAGCGTTTCCTGTGTACTAAGATAAGTACTAAGATAAGTTGGAATTTATAATGTTTCAGATTGTTTATACATTTATCTTTTTTTAGATAATGGCAAATAACAGAACGAGAAAAATAATAAATTTAACTCAAGGTATCGTTAGCGAACCTTTGAACATTTTAATTCCCAACAGCAGATTCGACTCAGATATTGAAAGTGATGAGGAAATAATGTTATCATCTGCTCCAATTGCCTATCCAGTAACGGACAATTTATTTGACGAACCCTATGAAGAAACTATTATAAAGACTGTTCAAGCCGCGTACGAGATGGCAGAAAGTGATGATGAAGAAGTAAAAATAAGAGATAACGAGGCTCTTAAACTTCAAGCTACAGATTACTGACGAACATAACACAAGAAGAAGTGATGAAGCGCTGAATTTAAAAAAGACAAACATTCCGGTAAAATCTGGTAAGCGTAGAAGAGAGCAAAGAGAGTATAACTGGTCAGATGAACAATTTGTTTACCCTGTAGACATAGCCACCGATTGTTTTGATCCACCTGAGCAAGTTTTGTCTTCAATAGCTTATTTTAAATTATTTTTTTATGACAATTTGCTAGATATGATAGTAGAACAAACGAATATTTACTCTCAGCCAGTTTCTGGTTCTTCAATACAAATACATGTAAATGATCTTACAGATAAAATCATTTTTACAAAAAAAAAAAAAAATTGTTACGTCACATTAATGGTATTATAACATAAAATTGACAAAAAAATATTTTTAATTTTAGTTTTTTTTGTTGAAAAAAGGGTTAAGTCAAAAACTATTGGATACCCTTTGTTGACTTGGACATATAAAAAATATCAAAACAAACTTAACATTAAACTACTTCATTTCAAGTCCAAACTAAAATTTTATAATTTATGTTTAGCTAGTCATGAAAATATAAATACAAGTGAAAATACATAAACGGTAAAAATCCTTCAACACAAATTAATTTTTATTAGAAACTTAGAGGTGCGCAAGCATTCGTTAAAAGGTTAAAGAATCCAGACACAGATCTTAAAAGCTTTTCTATTTATTACACATAAACAGAAATCTGAATCAATAATAATAATTACTACACAGGTATTAGGTATTTTTGTAATGGAATGTTGTTTATATCTGTATGTATAAATTTAGATAGTACAAGAGTATCACGTGACTATTGGTAATGCTATCCAACCGAAAATGTAGGTGTTACAGGGTGAAATCGTTTTATACAAAAAAAGCAAATCGATATTGGTTCTGTATTCTTGAGTTTTAATTATATCATAGACGGTAATTTTGCAAACTATACGAACGGAAGAGTGTTTTTTTTAGAGAACATAGAGAAATATCAAACACGTAGAATAGATTGAATAAATATAAGAAAATAAATTATTAGCAAAACTTTACAAAATAAGCATAAGACGCATAGTAATGCATAAGATGAAATGCTGAGGATTCTTCTACAGAATTTTTTAAAGAAAATATATTGTTCAGTAAAAATTAACAATGAAATTCCAGAGAAGATGAAAGGGGAACACATTATAAAAGTATGAAGCCTGAGGTGGTATGGATGTAAAAAAGGAAGCGTATAAGAGAATGGACAAATGACTTTCGTTCAAAAGTAAAAATATTATAGATAGGGGTGATCGGTGACGGTTGTAATGGGTGTCATTTGTAACATTCGACCTACAGCCGCCATCTATGATGTTAAACGCATACATCTTATACACACGTCACATCAGGCGCTACTAGACATGTTGACAGTTAATAGTTTCTTAAACTCGAACAAGAGGACGTGAAATTAAAGAAAATATTTTTAGATTCTTTTGTGAATATCTTCCTAAGCATATATTTTATGTGTAGTGTACTTAGACCATTCAAATCAGCATGTACATGTGTATGAAATCAACGATTTAGAACATCTAAATTTTAAGGTTAGGTAGCTTGTTGATGAACATTCCTTTGATGTGTCTGTTGGTGTCAGTTGTAACATAACCACGGATGGCGATTGTAACATATTACAACCGACAGCAATGAAAAATTTTGTAAATTCTTGTAATTTTTTTTATTCTAGGCAATATGAAACCAAGAGTGAGAAAAACGAATAGGGGCAGTATTCCGCAAGAAACTTACGAGGAGGCTACAAATAAAGTATTAAATGCCCATGTTTCTGTAAGAGCTGTTTTAAAGAAATATGGAATTTTTCGTAATCTCTAGAAGAAATAATGACCAGCCACGTGTTGGATACTGGGCTCATAACAAAGTATTTTCTATGAAACAGGAAGAAGAATTAGGCAAGTACGTGCAGAATGCAGCCAAAATGTATTTCGGTCTTTCCACGAGAGATGTGAGAAAATTAGCATAACAGTTTGCCTCTGTAAATGAATTGAAATACCCAAAAAACTGGGATGCATTTGGAATAGCTAGTAAAAACTGGTTAATAGCATTCCTCAAACGAAACCGTTATTTGTCAATTAGAACGACTGGATCCTACAAGTTTGGCCCGAGCAATGAATTTTAATAAAGAAAATGTTAGATAGGCATCATTTTGTGCCACAAAATATATATAATGTGGACGAAACAGGCTGTACCATCGTAAACAAGTAGGTTCTATAACTTCCCAAGGGGTACTTTAGTGATGATATGTTTAGTGCAATAGGAAAGAGCGTTCCACCTACGTTAGTATTTCCTTTACCTAGATATTACAATCATTTTATTAGGGATGGGCTACCTGGTTGCTACGGAGCAGCTAACAAAGTTTTGCTTATTTTGGATAAATATTCTTTCCACCTATTCCTTCCAGTGATAAATTTTTGCCGAGATAATTTCATAAACCTGCTCTCCTTTCTTCCTTACACGTCCCACAAGCTGCAATCGCTTGCCCGTACAGTATTTGGACCATTTAAGAAGGCTTACAATAACGAGTGTGACAATTGGACGAGGTAAAACAACCCCCGGAAACGAATGACTATTTATAACATTCCAGGTATATTTCGAAATGCTCTACCTCAGGCTATAATCCCTCAGAACATAATGTCCGGCTTTAGATACACGGGAATTTGGCCGTACAATAGACAAATATTTACCGACGATGATTTTGCGTCTAGCACTGTAACCGATAGGCCTCTTGAAAAAGATAATAATAATTCTATTGATTGTCCTCCAAAAGAACCAACCTGAAATCAATGTTCATCCATAAGCTTCGCTGTTCAGGTAACTTGTCTACCTTCCCCCATTCGCATCTAGTTCGGGATTAACATTCTCTCCCTCGTCAACGCCTTCATCATCGAAAATTATGGACCAGATACCGTCTACTTCGAAACCAACATGTTCTCCATCATCAACGACTCTATCATCAAAAATTGTGGACCAGTCAACTCCTTCTTCATATTCTAAAGAAGAATATATTTTACCACCTAGTAAGTAACGTTTTACTCTGCGGATTCTGACTAATTTTAAAATAATTTGTCACTGTTTGTTAACTTTTGAGTCAGATTTTTGTTAATTTTGTTGCTATTTAAAATTTTTTAGAAAGGGTATTGTTACACTCATTAACAATGAAATAAGTTTTTTTTTAAATTCTTCTTGAAGAATGCGTTTTTTGTTTGTTCGTTTAATAATGTTATTGATAAAAAATAAAATGAATACATTATGTAACTATTTTTGGCTTCCAATAAACGGTATCAGAAGGTTCAATTGTTTTATTTGAATTATCTTCTGACAGAAGATGCTTGTTACAATCGACACCTACCCCTGTTACAATTGACACCCATGTGTCTTTAAATTTTTAGCTAAAAAGCCTCAATTTTATTTATGGCTTGGGCCCTTGTCATTCAGCCAATCGCGAAATATATTTGCATTTTTTGTCGACACAATGTCCCAAATATCGAAAAACTAAAATTAAACGGTAGCGATTTCCCTTTCTGCAAATCAATTAAATATTTAGGAACGGTTCTTAATAAGAAACTACATATTGATCATATGCTAAATAGATGTAATAGGGGTTTAAATTTTTTGAAATTATTATCGGAAACTTCTTTGTTATTTTATCGATCGTACATTAGATCCATTTTAGATTATGGTTGTATACTTTATGGATCAGCAAGTAATCAAATTTTAAAAAGAAATGATGTCTTTCAAAATACAATACTTCGCATTTGTATAGGTGCTATGAAATCAACCCCTATAGATCCACTGCATATCGGATCATTAGAACCCCTCCATTATGTTATAGAAGAGACAAATTTCTAATAAAAGTCCGATATACAAACCCTACCTTGTATGCTAGTATTTGTAAATTAAATCATTATGATTTAACCTTCGAGCATATATATTTCATGCTCGAAGGATTTAACACAAAAATATTGGATACATAAACAAACTCCTCCACTTTGTGAAGCTTTTGGAAATATTAGCAATTATCAGGATCTCATCAGTATAGATCAGTGTTTCGATTTTGAGGATTTCTTTGCCTTTTTTCACAATGTTAATGTTATACAACCAATTTATCATGAAAATCATAAAATAAGTTCCAATATTTTGAATTCACAACTAGAAAACTGACCTAATTTACAAAGATCTACACAGATGCTTTCAAAACTTCAACTGGTACAGGATGTGCCTTTTTCATTCCTTCTACATCTACAGAGAACGTTTTTAAATTACCATCAAATTTTTCAATATTTAGTGCAGAAGCAATTGCTATATATGAAGCTATAAAATACTTTAAAATATCTAATAATAATAATAATAATACTGCAGTTATTTTATCTGATTCCCTATCTGTATTACTTGCTATTTGCTGTGTGCAAGACTGGTAGCGCTCTCTGGTGACGGGATAGCGACAGTTCTCCTCATTCATTCCCGCATACTTGCTATACACCTCACACTCAACAGTTGAACTTGAAAATTCTTTTTCAACAATTAAGTGTTGCAACAAGTTTTGTGTTCGCTTTTAGTTGATAGACTAACAAAAATTGTTTCTGTCGCACAAAAAGTAAGTAAATGACATAAAAATATTTGGAGGTTATGCATACGAAGTATCTGCGTTTTGAATGTCATAAATCAATGTAATTTGAAAAACCATTAAATCTACTACGTTATAAATAATTTATTTATCACTATTACTTGAGCATTCAAATACCGCTCCTACTTTCGATGTTTATGATATATATACGACAGAGGTTATGTTACTCACTTTTTCTTTTCACAGCTGCTATCCATTTCTTTCTTCGCTCCAATTTATGTGATGCGGTTGGAAACGTATAAAACTTACACGCACTATTTTTGCTAGTGTTTTTACACTCGACAACACTACAATAACGACGACTCATTTTAATACCCAACACGAGACCCACAACACGCTGCC